TCACCTTTTTTTTTTTTTTAAATGGAAAACGAGAAGGACTAGTATTTTAGTTTCTACTTTCAAGGATATCTATTTGAGTTTTTTTTTAAATTATTTTTTTTATTTTTAGGGTAGTTAGGATCTACTGCCATTGTTGGGGTGAGGTCCAACGGCCAAAGAGGATTTGATTTAACCTCTGAATGTGGACGTGTTTGTGGAGCACAACGATTGATGTGCTTTTCTGCACATCTGCTGAGAACGTGTCCAGATTCAGGAGCTTAATCCAATCCTCTTTGCTAGTGGGACCTCACCGCCCCTGGTGTTTCTAGCGTACACGACCGGGGTCGAGGTCCCACAAGCAAATAGGATTGGATTCCACGCCTGAATCTGGACGTGTTTGCGGAGAGGTGCAGCAAATCTTCCGCCACGGGCTCCAGTGCGGGTAATAGACTGCGGGACTCCAGTCAATCTTCCACACCCCATTCAAAATGTCGAAAAAATGGGAAAGAAAAAAATATAAGAAAATGACAAAGTACTGCTCACTGCTCAGGGAGTGAAAAGAAAAAAGAAATGTTCCATGACATGGAAGAACGCCAGTTAAAAGTATGTGAGCAGAGAAATATATATATATATGTATATATAGTGTGTGTGTGTGGGTGAGTGATAGTCTACTTTGATTTTGGTTAAGGTAGATTAGCATTTACAGTGTAATCAGTGAGGGGATTCTGCAGACTGTTGAGGGTTCAGCCTCCTGATGAGTCGGTGAAACTCCGACGAAACAGTTTGTCACAGCCCCTAGTTTGTTGTCCTCTTCTCTCTCTCTGCCTACGGTTTACCGGGCAGTTCTGTGACGATATATACATATATAACAGTTTGTCACAGCCCCTCGTTTGTTGTCCTCTTCTCCCTCTCTGCCTACGGTTTACCGGGCAGTTCTGTTTGACGATATATATATATAGAGAGAGAAGAGGACAACAAACGAGGGGCTGTGACAAACTGTTTCGTCGGAGTTTCACCGATATATATAGCTGTCCCCCAAATTGAAGGAGGAGAAGACAGCTTTAAAAAAAAATAAAAAAACTCTCAAGCACGAGCACGCAGACCGCAAGGTTCGTTTTGCTCCCAGATAAACAGCCAGAAGAGGACAGAAGGTGGACTAGATTCAGAGGTTTCATAGAAAATCCAGAGAAAATTCATATGGCAAACGCAAATTAGCGAAAGTGGAACTCACTCACACGCACACGCACGCACACACGGACACGCACACACACGCACACATATATATAGATTTCTACATATATACATATATCATCACAAACAGAATATATATATATATATATATCGGAGTGTGTATGCGTCTGAGAGAGAGAGAGAGGAGCACACACACACACACACACACACGCACACACACACAGAGAGAGAGAGAGAGAGAGAGAGAGAGAGAGAGAGAGAGAAGTACAAATGAAAATGGATGATTTACAAATGCAAGTTCTGCTGCCCCACAGGAACGGTAATTTACAAGTAGAAAATTTTGGGGAATTTCGAAACAAAGCGGAGTGGACCAAAAAATGGGAAACAACAAATTTCGGAAAATTTCCGTCGATCCCACGACACAACGCTGCTGTCAATAATCCACTCTTTCTCTTCGACTCTTAGACTCCTTCTCTACCGGAAAAAACCGAGTAATACCGTCTCTCTCTCTCTCTCTCTCTCTCTCTCTCTCTCTCTCTCTCTCCACCTGCACTACCTTCCCTACACAACACGTCACATTCTTCGCAATCAATGTCACCAATACCCGCAAGGAATCCACCCCGCCTACCTCTCCCTCCCTCCCTCCC